GATGTCTTGGTATCTGTGTATTTATTTTTGGACACGGTGTAATGGAAGCAACCCTAATATTACCACTAGCTTCAATTAATCCCACTTTGTTTACTATACCACTGACCATTCCAGATTGTAGCTAATTAATAAATCATCCACAATTGCAGAACAATACCGTAACTACATCCCCTGATGCCAGGGTCGAGGTTGGTGACAATTACCTTCATTTTGTAAGCAGAACCTCATATACATAGAGCAAGACCTCTCCATTCACATCTAGTTTATTTCTACAAGCTATATCAAAGTTTGTGTTGAATGGTTGATTTGCTAGGACCAATTGATATACCCACATCAAAAAAAAAACTCTAACTCTCGGCATTATACTCTGACAGGCACATATCATAGCATACCCATAAAGAGCTGGGCTGACCAGCTACAGCTGCAATGATTACAGTTTAGTGTTAGCTCTCCTGAACCTGTTGCACCATGTGTTGAAACCAATAACTTTTACCTCGCTGCTCAAAAAGTTAGGGGTACTCCACTCTAAAATGACCTAATGCTCCATAGGCTTTTTGCTCTTCCTTCCCAAAAGGACATTTTGTTGGAGGCATTGGCAGTATAAATTGTGGGCTTTTATTTATTTGTGGCATATGAAACCATGAGATGATTGAAATATCCCTGTCCATTCACTGGATACTAGTGTCATTGCATTACAATGATGAGATATGTGGGGGATTAGTTAATCCTCAACTGGGTTGGAACTTGGCATGATGTGGGCGCCTGTGTAAGATGGTCTCTCCGCAGTAAAGTTACTGTAGCTGCTGCTATAGGTTTCTTCATCCAGTGAGGGATTTGGTTTAGTGGGTGGGGTCCACAACCAATTGGGGATGTCGAGCCCTGGGATACTTCAAAACTAGCTCCATAACTGACTCAGCAAGATCCTAAATTGATGATATATATCAACCATTAACACATCTTCATCTATTGACTCTACTGGATTGAAGGTCTGTCTAGACCCAGGAGTTTTTAGGTTGGTGGCTAAGTCCTGTTTCATGCCAGACTTAAAGTCCTTGACATACTGATAGTCATAATAGAAACTATTTATGGCAGCATAATTAGAAGTTTGAGGTTTCAACTCACAAGAGATTGAAACTTTGTCATTTAAAGAACAAGATAGTCCAAATGGTAAAGAACTCGATCATAAATAGGAAATGTCTAGATTGAAAATGCATTGTCAGATGGATTCCAATTGGTCAGAAGTATAGCAAGGAGTATAGGTTAAAAAAGGGTCATAACTGCCCGATTACAACCATCACCCCTATAAAACTTCCTTTAGAGATAAAATAATCAACATATAATCATGGTCCAGCATGTGGTTCACACGAGCTCATACTTTAAACACTCATAGAAAATGTATCTGAAGTACCTAAAAACTTCTTGGTCCACAGGTCTCCATTTGAACAATAACTTAATAGCCATATCGCCATTCCTGTGACAATCTCCAACACACTTACTCTTCGACTTAGATCCACCCCTTCACAATAATACCTGATTCCAGTAGGGAATGAATAGGGTCGAGATTGCAAAAGTGGTTCCCATACACATGAGCTGCTTCATGTTAAGCAACCCTTGCTTCTAAATGTTAGAATCAACTAACACTTAAATCAAATATCTTTTCGGACCTCTTTCTAGTTTTAAGTTTAGTATTAGGTCGTCATGACATTAATGTTGCTTTTTGTAGATAAAAAACCCGAACAACTTATATATTAAAACAAAACATGTATTAAATGAAATAGTCTCCATTATTATCGATGATGCTTATCCATCTTACAATCAGGCTGTTAATGCCCTCATTAAAAAATTCACTTGGCTTTGAAGCAAAAAACATGCCGATGTCCTCTTTAACACCTTCCACATTTGCATACGTTTTCCCATTAAGATGATGTTCAGCGAACAACAAAGATGGGAATCTGGTGGTGTCATATCTGGAGGATATGGTGGGTGGGGGAGAACTTCTCAACCCAACGCTGTGGATTGAGGAGTTCAAAAGGAATTA